GAGCCCGGGGGGTTCCCGGGGCGCCCCGAGCAGGCGGCGCTCCCGCCCCGCGTCCCGCCCGCCCGGGCGGCTCCAGGAACCGGATCCGCGGGCTCCGCAGAGCCGCCGCCGCCGCCGGGCCCCTGCCCCGAGCCCTCGCCGCTGCTCGGTGAGTGCCGTCCCGGCGGGCTTTCGGGGAGGCGGGCAGGGGGCCCCGCCGCTTCCCCGCCCGGGAGTGCCGCACGCCGCCCAGCCCGCGGGGAGGAGGCACGGGTGGGCGCCGCCGGGTCCCGGTCCGCCCGTGGGTGCCTGTCCCCACGGAGCGGTGTGACAGCGGCGGGCTGCTCACGCGTGTGCCGCCGGCGGAGGGGGATTGTGGGAGAATCCCSGGGGAGCCGGTGCGCGGGGGCAGCGCGGCGCGGATGGGATGCTGCCGCGGGCACGGCGGCGGTGAGCGGAGCCCCGTGGCTCTCGGCGAGCGCTCCCACCTCGCCCAACTAGGTTTGTTTCTGGTTATCGTCGAGGTTGGGTAATTTCCTCTGGGAACTCTACCCAAAATGCTGCTCTTGCGCAATGCCACAGGAAGGCTCAGGAAGGCTGATTGCGCTGTGCAGGCTTTTCGCAGCCTTTTTGTGTCCGCGGACCTGCTGAATGAGCGGCACGGGTTTAAAATGGGCTGTGAGGCAGGGTCATGAATACAGTTGTAATGCATCCCAGAGGCGCTTTCCACGTATTTGGTCCTGTGATGCAGTACCGTGATACGTGGCAGCCTGGCGTGTGTTTTATCTGCACTGGAGCTGTGCTCCCCATAGGCCTTTTCCAGGACTGCTTGGGTGCTGGCATGCTGGCAGGATCTTGGCAGGCACGCAGCCTGCTGGTGGTCTCATTTTCGCTGTKTGATGACCTGGACCTGTTTTGGTCTGCCGGCTTTGTCACAAGGCAGAGTTGAGGACCAGGGCAATTCAGGTTTTTTTGTTTCTTGGAAGGCCCTCTCACCCAACTTGCTGCGTGTAACTGCTGCTTCTTGTAACCTGGCCACACCTGGTGCTCTTGAGCCTGAGCCTCATCCACCAAGTGGGCCATTTTAGCATGAGCCCCTCTATCACCAGAGATAACAACAGGGGAAGAGACTTCAGAGAAGCTACCTGTGGTTTTCAGTTTAYGAAACCGACACGAAAATTCATCGTTTCTCTCAGTCCTTGCTGGTCAGCTGTTTATGGATCGATGCATCTGAATTACAAATGTCTGGTTTGTTATTTTAAGAAGGCGGTTTTGAGGTCACTAAAAGAAACTGTTCYGTGTTTTGTGTTGTTTTTGATTCGCATCTTTCACTTTTTTCCCCCAGATCATTTTAAGTTGAAAGTGGCTGTGAAAGCCTGTTCTCAGAGAGTGGATGTGGGAGCCCTTTATGAATATGGCTTTGCTTTGAATGGTCTCCACTTAGTCTGATCCTSTCAGGACTGAGTCATGTGCCTTGGAAATGCCTGGAGTTTAGAGAAATGCTCCTAGTGACCCAAAGATTCAAAGTGTTGTTGGAGTTAGTTGCTAAAGGATCATTTAAGATATTTTAAATCATCGTTGTAACATCCTAAGTGCAGTTTGCTGCATCTGCCAAAGGCCATATGATGCTGCTGGAAGTGGTTACGGATGGCCAAAAGAGCTACAGGGCCGTGTAAAAAGTATCTCTTTACAGTACAGTAGGGAAATATTTTCTAGCTGTGTTACCTTCTGTACTTGTGGGGTGGTGCAGTCACATGCAGCCTGGCACCGTCACAGTGTAAAGATTTATAGCCAGCATGTAGGTGAGAAACTGTTTGTTCTTTTTTTCCCTGTTCCTTTCAGATTTTGGTCGCAAACAGCATTTGTAAAGCAACCTTGTCATGCCTYGCATGTTGCTCAGAGCTGAGCCTGCCCTGGTCCACATCTCAGGTGTCTCTAAGGCCACTGTGAAGAATGGAGCAGTGTGCAATTTGTGGGCATTTCTGACGCAAAAATCTCCCACCCAGAACTCAGAAATCCCTCTTTTTGAGCATAAAACTCACTAATCAATATGAACATATAAAGCAGGAACCATCCGGTGATTCCTGTATTCCCAAAGTCAYGGGGAAGGTGCTCTGATGGGAATAGGTAGCTTCAGTAGCTCCATTTCCTCAGCATAAACCGAAATTTGTTGAAACATACATATTTCTATTTTTTAAATTTATTTCCTGCCTGCCCCTCCCCCATCGTTGTTGGGAAGCATGTGATGACTCACACAGGATATGTGTGACTGAGCTGCTCAGGCTTTTTGAATAGTAAAATAGCCAGGTACTCGTTTCAGAGGCCCACAGTTTCTGCCTAGCAGTTTTTAGAGAGTAGTTTACCATCCCTGCTGGTAAACTGCTGGTCTGGCTCTGCAGCTATTCATTAGCTGAATGAGGTTTAATCTCCTGCAAGAAGCTGCCAAATTTAAAATGTGCTTTTATGGTTCACTTGCCATTATTTGTAATTTAAAGGAATAAATCGGTGCTGGGGTAATACTATAATTSAGCTTTGAGTTGAAAGTCCCTAACAGCTGTGAAATTCTCTGATACAAGGTAATATAAGCATTTAGGATTTATGCTCCAGTTTAGAGCTGCATTCCGATGAGTATCTTAAATGGGGTATCAAGAAGCAGAGCCTGCTTGCTGAAGTAAAATTTCAAGAATTCCAAGATTCTGGCTTCTCTGAGGAGCCCAAAACCAAGTAGATCCAGGTATTTCCTGCAGGTGTCCATTCCTGGAATTGTTACATTCTTTAGGAGCTGCAGAACAGTATCGTGGTGTTGGTTTTGATAGTTTTTTGGGTTTTTTTTAATAAAAAATTGCTTTGTATAAGTAGTATGTGTGTTGGCCTAAATGCTTTCAAAGCAGTCAAATGCATTTCTTCTATTGCCATGCGGTTTTGTGTTTTAGWGGTGGGGTTATTACATGCCTCCTGGTTTAAGGAGGGGGTGTACAAGGGGTCAGATTCTTTGGTTGTAAGATCCCTTTCCAAAAGAGCTCATCTTAAAGCAGCCAGAAGTCTGCAAAGCAGAATTTCATGGACAGGCTTATCTATATTTCAGGAATGTAATTTTCAAGCCCAGCTGAGTGCATGTGTCTCTGGAGGTTATTTTAGAGTACAGCTGTCTCCTTAGCCATTTTTGATCCCCATTTAAACATCAGGTGTGGCTGGGATGGCAGATGTAAAAGACGTGATCTTGCCTTTTTTGCTGTGAGCGTCTTCTGGGGAAGTATACCCAAGTGCACTAAATATGGCAGTCAGGTGTCTGTCTTTATAGCTTTTCATGCCCAGATATAAGTTTAGAAAACTGATAACCCTGAATGCTAATAATTAACGGATATTGACAAAACAAAAATGTAGGTTAATGTATGAACCAGTGAATTGTCCAAAGRACAAACTAATTAGAGATGTAATCATTTTCATTAAGGTTTAAAAATTGCTTTTTTTTTCTGTGATATCATAGAATGATTTGGGTTATAAGGGACCATAAAGATAATGTAATCCTAGCTTCCTGGCACGGGCATGGACACCTTTGCCTAAACCATGTTGTTCAGAGCCCCATTCAACTTGTCTTGAACAAACACTTTCAGGAACAAGACGTCCAGAATTTCCCTGGGCGACCTGTTCTGGTATCTGACCACTCTCACYGTTAAGAACTTTTTCCTAACATTTAATCTAAACCTTCTCTGCTTTAATTCCAATGCCCCTTGTTCTATTGCTATCTTGTCAAAAGTCTGTCTACAGCTATCTTTTCTCCCTACAGCCCTGTCCTCTCCAAGATGAAAAATCCCAAGTCTCTCAGCCTGTTTTTATAAGGAAAGTGCTCCATCCCTCTAATCATCTCAGTGTTCCTCCTCTGGACTCTCTCCAATAGATCCGTGTCCTTCCTGTGCTGGCCCCCAGAGCTGGGTGCAGTGTTCCAGGTGGGGTCTCAGCAGAGCAGAGCAGAGGGGCACAATCCCCTCCCTCCCCTGCTGCCCACGCTGCTTTGGATGCAGCCCAGGACACGTTTGGCTCTCTGCGCTGGCAGTGCCATGGCCAGGTCATGTCCAGTTTCTTTTCTTGTCAGCCAGCATCCCCAAAGTCCTTCTGCTCAAGGATCTTAGGCACACAAGAAAAACAACTGTTTGCCTGAGATGTCAGAGCTCTGGATATAAACTGGTGCTTCCCAATTCCATGTTACCAAGGCATGTTTAAAAAACAAGGATTGAGAGAAAGAAAGCTCCTTTAGCCTGCTTGTAGGTGTCACTGGGGGAGGGGAGGACCTATGGTACAGGCTTTTTCTTCAGTGTGCTGCTTCTGATGTCTGTGTAGTCAGTGCAAGCACTGTTCATGCTGAAGGTAAGTGATAAAGGTTTTCTGATGCTTTGAGGTAGCCTGTAAAATTGGTGCTGTTGCTTGGTGTCTGTGTTACAGAGGTGTTTAGAGGTTGTGTGCAGCCTGAGATTGAATTAATAAATAATGTAGTTKGAGGCCCCTGCATATGTGGACATTGTGTGGGCAGAGGTAGAAGATGTTTTAGCACTGGCAGAATCCYAGCAGGGAAACATTTGGGCAAGAGGGTAAAAACCTGAGGGATTCTAAGTGCAATATTTTTAAGAAGACTTCTAGTGGTGACAGTGCTGGAGGGATTTGGTAGGTTTGGCATGCCTGGGGTCTGCCCCCGCAGTCTTGGACTCTCATCTTGCTATGGGGGGTTTCTACCCCAGAAATTGGAGGCCTCTGAATCTGTGGGGTCACTTGAAATAGCCATCAGTGGAGAAAACATCTGCTTTACATGTAGCATCTCCCTTTCCTCTCATCTGGACCTGCCTTTTTTTT